TTTTGGTTGTTGTGATGTGTAGTTGTTTTGGTTGTTGTTGTGATGTTTAGTTGTTTGTGATGTTTAGTTGTTTGTGATGAGTAGTTTTGGTTGTTGTTTTTTGTCGTGATGTGTAGTTGTTTTGGTTGTTGTTGTGTGGTTGAGGTTGATCTTTGAGTTGGATTGAGTGTTGTTCTTTCGATCGCAGTTGAATGCTGCTGAGCAGCTGCCACGGGCTTCCTCCACAGACTGACTGACCAGAGGCAGGCTGCTAGTAGTAGTAGTGTGTAGGTGGAAGGGCAGGAATGTCATCTCACTGAAACGAAACAGTCAATGGTTCGCCATTTCAAAATCTGGTACTGTTTATATTTCATGTATAAGATGACAATAAACTGTTGAACAAGCCTTGAATGGATTTAGATAAATTTATTGACTGTATTCAAATGTTATACTTAACAATTGATCAATTTTTGATAGATTTAAATAAATTAATTGATTTTATTAAAGGTTTGTTCTAAACAGTTGTACATGTTTTGATTTGATTTAAAATAATGTATCTATTGTATTAAAGGCTTGTACTAAACAGTTGAACTAATTTTGATTTGATTTGATTTAAATTAATTTACTGATTGTATGTAAGGCTTAAAAAACTAAACAGTTGTACAAATTTTGAATTGATTCAAATTAATTTACTGATTGTATTAAACGTTTATACAAAACATTTTAACAAGTTTTTTTTTGTTTTATTACACTTTGTAACTAAATGATTTTCGTGGAGATAATCACGCCCCTTCTATTGTACTGCTGTTTTAGTTCGGCTGTTTTCTTTTCGCATCACCTTCATTAAAGATATTTTCTCTATGTTAGCGCTGTGGTTAAAGATTTTTTGATTTGTTTTTAATTCATAAATATTTGTATTCGAAAAACAGAAAAATACATCTATTTGTTTGGATGAATGTAATACTATGATTGTTACCGCATATTGACCTACCTTGCCGATTGCACAGAAAGGTGGTTTGAAACCATGTTGACATTGGCACCTATTCGGTTTAACGCACTGTCCTCCGTTTTGACAGGGCTGGTTACAGATTGCTAGAATATAGACAGGCTGAGATGTATCAAGTACATCTAACTAGTAACACTTGTCAATCATTTCAAAATTGTAAATAGAATCACAAATATTTACCGTCAAAGTTGGTTTCCAGTTATCTTGTTAGTTGTTAGTTGTGATGCAATATTGCCTGCTTCAAGAAAGGAGATTAATTTTGGAACGGTCTTCGAAACAATAAAAGTTCTGGACAGAACTTTCAACGATCCACTAGTTCTATATTTGTGCGAATTTGTAAAAAAAAAAAATATATACTGATAATCGGGAAACAAACTCAAAAAAATAATTTGTCGTCAATCCCATGTTCTGATGAAACATTCAAAGCAAACAAACTGGACATTTAAAGGGTCCTGCTCAACGTGTACAGCAAATACACTGTAGAGTATATATCACTGCACCAAACATATGATTAATTCCTTAAAACTGGTTTGCTCCTAGAATTTGCCACTCTCCACAAAAAGCTAGTATGCAGACTTACGTTTTTGACATCTGACGCCGGTGTAAGCCGAAGGACACGAACAGTGATATGGTGCCGTACATCTTCCACCGTGTAAGCATGGCAAAATACACAGGGCTGAAACACATCAATAGGAACACACTGACGGAACATCCTGCTGCTGGCCTCCCTTTCACGAAACATTAAACTAAGACTGTTTCCCCGGGGAAAACATTGCTTAAATTGAGAATGACAAAGAGTTCGCGAATATGGAACATGGTTGTAGAAATATTTACGTAAGCGATATAAGGTAAAGTATTAATAAAGAAATACAAAATGATGTTTCTCCAGAGTGTGACCCCTATACGCTTAAATACAAGACGGCACGTCTTTACTGTTCTCTATTGTGACTTGGCGAAGGTCAAGGTTACTAGATGTACAGTGCGTCACATAGGGTTACACATTACCGTCAATTTCAAGAGAACATTTTGGTATAGCTGGGTGAGATACTGCTCATATTTTGTTGAGTTTGTAAAGACAACTCACCCTTTTCACATCGCCTACCGCCATAACCGGTGGGGCATTTGCATCCATACAAACCGAGGCAATGTCCTCCGTTGAAACATCCACCTTTACAAGGAACTGTAGCAGCATAACGAACAGTAATTATGTGTCAACAACAGGGAAAAGGAACAGTTATACTGTGTCAACAACAGGAAAAAATTGGAACAATTATTCTGTGTCAACATCAGGAAAAAGGACAGTTATACTGTTTCAACAACATGATTAAAAAATAAGAGAAAAATTATTTCAACAACTGGAAAATAGCTGATGTATTACTGTGTCAAAGATTTTTTCATAATTGAAAAGGTATTCACATTACATAATTTGTATTTACATTAAACTCCGGAATCTCGCCTTTGAAATTGTAAGGCTATATACAATTTACTCACGTGAGCAGGCTATTTCGCCGTCCCATTCACCATTTGCCTGACATGATAAGATAGGTGGTACTTTGATCGGAGCTATTCCAGGCCTACACCGGAATTGTACTCTGTCTCCGTAAAAATAGGAGCGACCAGATATTCGGATGATATTCACCATGTCAGTCACTGGAGGCTTTCCACAAGAGATTCCTACAGCAGTAGATGTTCCATTTTGATAGTTTACATTCAACCATTGAAAGGAATGTTCAGTTAGGATGTCAATTAGTGAAAGACTCCCTGTTATGTAAATTGATAACTGTCGTCATGACACTCTCTAGGCTAAACACCAACATTTAAAATTATCAAGATATTCAGACACGGTGTTCTTTCAAAGGGATATGTTTATAAGTTAGGGTACGTTCTTTTGGCCAATACTTGCCATCGTAAAATATACATGAAATGAAAAGGAGAATTTTTTCATTTCGTGTTATGTAATAAAAAACAGTTGCTTAATATTTGCATTTTTACATGAGATATTGAATTTATATATGCTTTTCATACACATGGAGCAAAAATCAATCAAAGCTGGCAGTCGTCTTACTTCGACAAATTCCACTTGGATTGGACCAAACGTTCTCAGGAGTACACGTGACTTCCATGTTACCGATACCACGATATCCCGTCATGCACTCCACTGTGTACATCTCGCCCTCTCTATAAGCAGAAGGGATGGTATTCGCGTTTGCCAAATCGTGTCGTGCTGGGCAGGCTTCGACATTTGCTACAAACAGAACCAGGAGTTTTGACAAGATACATGTTTAAAATCTAACTATAAAAGATATACGAACTTAATGAAATTGTGATTATATCAATAATTACATTGACAATATCAGACCATTTAACGGAAATTGACAAGCTTTGTGGTTTTCTTGGAAACCCGGAAAAGTTTGTTATGTTCTTGCATTTGAAAGTGCGCAGTAACCATAAGGCGTAACTCAAACATAATCCCGATATTATATATATATATTATATCTTTCTTCAAGACGTTTTGCATAATTTATAGGATATCTTGCATAATTCATTGGATATCTAAATGAATTTATAGGTCATCACAATTTGTATTTTTTTTTGTTATTTGATGAGAAAATTTATCTTACAAGCTTGGTATGTCTTTTGAAATATCGATGGATCTAAAAGATATCTTATAAACAATTTTATTAGAGGTCTTCGCTTAGGAACTTTTAGATTTATATCATAAAATATAGCTTTTACCCAAGTTTAGAAGATATCGGAGAATTTATCTGTTAACCTTAATTTTAAGCGATATATCATTTCACTACCTTTTTTTTCATTATCTATTACCTTTTTACTACCGTAATATTTTAAATAAATGTATCTAGACAAAGATATTTGCTGCAGTGATCAAATATCTCACCAGTCTTCGAAAATAACTTTTTGCTTTATTTGATAATGCTAATACTTTAGTTTTTATCAGGAGACGTAGCGTAAATTCAGTGCCATTTTACTTTTCTATTTATAGACGACAAAAGTCACGTTACCCTCTATGCATGATGGGTTCACAGCGCTCCATCTTCCATTGGCTTGGCACTGAGAGGACGAAGTCCCCACAAGAACGTATCCCTCCTTGCAGATCAAATCTATGTTGTCAGCGTACACGTACTCATCCTTCGTTCCGGTCCTAACGATAAGGTTGGAATCGTACAACGGGAAATCTCCACATGAAACAACTGAAATTAAGAAATGAACGGTGCGTTGTCGATTTTTACCGCAAAACACATGTAATGGAATATTATTTGAAATATAGAACACAATCTTCGAAACAGTTTTGAAAAGTAAAAGTTCCAATGCATGTTCTATCCATTGTGACACTGATTCGTATTTAAAGACGTTGCGTTATTTTCATGCAGAATAATCATCAATTAAGTATGATAGTAAATGAGTACGTATGGGATATTTAATACCAAGAATATTGCAAAGGTGTCAAAATACATAATTACCTTGACATTCTGGTGAGGTACCACTCCATTCCCCTGAAGATGTACAGCTCATATTCGTTTTTCCAATCAAAATGTAACCTACAGGACACGAAAACGTGACAGTTCCGCCAAGAAGATGGTCATTGCCGATTACGATCACGTTGCTTCGAGTTTTCGGTGCTCCACAGCTGTTTTTTTCACATCGTGGATTCAACCCAATCCAATTGCCAGTTTCATCGCAACGTAATACAGCATTCTCAGACATAAAAAATCCAGCAGCACAAGAATAGGTTGCCTCGGAGGGATACGTCGTTGATGATACAGACACTTCGGAATTCGGGATCGTGGGAGGGGGACCGCAATCCACTGCAAGACAGGATAGAGAACGGTCAAGACTCCACGTTCCATTAGCAGAACATTTAACCATCGGATCTCCTCTCAGTGTAAACCCGGGGTTACAGCGGAAAGTGACAACACTGTCGAATGTGGTGGCAAAAACAATGGTGGTGGAGTGTGGCAACACTGGTGGTGCGCCACAATCCACTGCTGAACAGACGGGCATGCTGCCCTCCCAAATACTGTTTGCGGCACAACGAAGCATACTGTTCCCCTGTAATTCGTATCCAGTTTCACACGTGTAGTACACCTTATTCTTGAAACTGAAGTCGTCGCCTGCGCGAATTGTTTGTGGTATTTCAGGTGGAGTACCGCAAGAGATCGGCTCACACTGAGGTGGGAAACTTGACCATGTGGCGTCCTCCAAACATACAAGGACATCATCTCCTTCCAGGGTGTACCCATCTTCACAGAAATATGTGAGAAGGTTTCCATATGTGTACAAGTCTCCCAGACGTCCAGAGTTGGCGACAAATGTTGGTTCACCACAGCTGACTGGATTACAGACAGGAAATTCGGCACTCCATTTTCCGTTTTCTATACACATTAACACTTTTACACCCTCCAATTCAAATCCTTCGTCGCATGAGAAGATAGCGCGACTCTGGTAGACCTCACCGTTGGTCATGACTTCACCGTTGAATATCCTTTCTGGCTGAGGACAGGTTATTCTATCACACTGGGGTAGTGTGCCATTCCACGATCCATCGGAAGTACAGACAAGATCGGTGTTACCAACCATGACATAACCTTCATCACAATTGTATGACACTATGTCATCAACGACATATTGGACTTTCACAGAAGAAGGTGATCCTTTCCAAATAGCAGGAACAGTGCAGGTTATAAGTCGACATGTTGGTACAGAACCACTCCATAATCCGTTCTGTTGACAAGTACGTCTTTCGGATCCTACGAGTTCATATCCAATACCACACGCATAAACTATTTCGTGGTTGAAATCGAACAGAGAACCTTCAATCTGCCCATTCTCAAACTCTCCTGGATTTCCACATGAAATGATTGAACATGTAGGGGCAATGGCAGACCACCAAGATCCATCTCCTTGACACGATAATTGAGTGTCGCCATTGATGGAATACCCGTCAATACACTCGACAGTAAGTGTGTCACCATAAAGGAAACTATCGCCGCTAACCCGTGCATTGCTGATGATCGGAAGATCTTCACATTCTGCTCTGGAACATTCGATACGTACTGCTGACCATCTGCCGCTCAATTCGCAGGTGGCAGTAACGACCGATCCGCCTATGCTTTTAAAACCTTCGTTGCACCGTACCTCAACCATGCTTTTATAAGTTGTTGTTCCATTCAAGAGATTTGTCATGGCATTAGGTTTAGCTGGAATGTCATCACACATTATAATTGTACATCGGGGAATGGGGCGTGACCACTTTCTTGTTGCCTCGCATCTTCTAGTATGATGTCCTCTCGTTAGTTCATAACCTTCATTACATTCAAGCTGGACGGTATCCCCATAAAAATAGTTTGGCTGTCTCGGACTCGTGATTCTGGCATTAGGAGGCGTTCGTGGTAATATACATCGTACCTTATTGCAGTTTGGCTCAGGACCCGACCACATTTTGCTGTACATACACAAACGGAACGAGACCGAGTCGAGAATAAAGCCCGAATTACAACGATATCGTATCTGACTTCCAAGATGGTAATTATTGCCAAGGATTTCTCCGTTTTCGATCGATTGCGGTGGGGAACAGGCAATGGCGGTACAGGTGGGAGCGACACCCGACCA